CCCCCCCCCCCCCCCCCCCCAGTACACTAGGCAAACCCTCCCGCACGTGGAGAGCAAGGGCACCATCATACAAACATGCCTTGGGGGAGGAGGGAGCTTCAGCCGTATTTGTCTGATTTGTCCAAGATAACACTAGGGGGAGGCCGAAGCCTTACTACTGCTGCTGTAGGAAAAAAAAAATACATGCAAGCAAGGACTGCTGTAGGGGAAGGAGTTCTTGACGAGGTGACCCACGATCGGAGATCTCCTGATTGAGGAACAAGGCCAAAGGCAAGGGGGAACCAGCGGCACTGAAGCAGTGTGATCACGTACGGCATCTATTTACAGCAGTTGTGTACCGTGGGACACCGTATCTCGACGGCGACTGACGTCTTTTCATTGCTCAGCCGGTTAGCGCGGTCCATGCTACACGCATACAACAAATGCATGCGACCGCATACCTTGATATACTGCGTATGTAGCAGCAAAAGCTCTACAACAAGAAGGGTTCGATGTACTACATGAACGCGACAAACATGTATTCGGCAGGAACCGCAGGAGGGGGTCCAACCCCCCCCCCTCCTATGCGAACCCGGTTGGGTCGTCTAGCTGGTACAAGTGGAGGATAGGGGCCAGAGGGGCAGACGACAGAGTCCAACGATGGGAGACAAGAAAAAAAAAAAAACGGACGGCCAATAAAACAGAGAGGGGCATCGCCTTGTTCACCTACACCTCGCCGCCGGTCGGCTTGCTCTCCTGCTCTTGCTGCTTAAATTGCTGTGTGGAGTTTTCGTTTTCCCGCCGTCGTCTGACATATGCATCGACACCAGTCGACCTGGATAGATGAAGGTATAGATACATTTCGTGGAAAACATGTGGTACCTGTTACTCCTTTTGCGGACCTGGTGTCATCCACGATACGTACTTCGTTCGCACCTACGGTCCATGTACTTAGTACCTCGGATGTCATATTCATTCATCTCGATGTTTTCATAACTCATGACCCCCCAAAAACAGGGCTGTCCCTGATCGTCGGCAACAGGCCCCCAACAGACCACAAGGGGATGCTAGCTCTCGCGCTGCTTGCTGCCGTGCATCACGTGCATCATGCGCGCGGAGTGTGTGTGTAGGGTACAGCAAGGGGGTAGAGGGCGATTATGCAAGAGGGACCGAAAACAGACCGCAAACGACGTTTGCAACCTCACGAGGGACAAATACAGCAAGTGAGACAAAGAGATCATGCTTACAGGAAAAATACACGGGTGAGCCATCAATAGCGTTCTCCTCTCTCCCGAGCTATCCTGGTCCACCAGCAGCGGACATGGTGTGCTTACCCTACAAAGCGCTCTCCCTCTCAACACTCACTTAGTGCTCTTGCCACGCGCTTTCACGCACGCAGACGTCACCAGCGAAAAGAGGTAGAACTCGCTGGAGTACGGCCACTTGAGTAGCACGATGTAGCGAAGCCATTCGATTGCCTCTGACAACATGGTCGGAAAGGAACCCTGAGAGCTCGCTCCGTATTGCGGCACTGCAAGCTCGTCTCTCCTTTTTTGGCTCCTTTGTGTGTCTGCTCTGTCTGTGTCTGCTTGTCCCGCGCCGGCAAAAGGCAAAATCTAAAGCTGCTGTGACGTAATGTGGTGGGGGTAGGTGCGGTTATGGGGGCTCCGTGGCTGCAGCAGCCGCACAGAGAGCTGAATGCAGCCAGCGCACTACTGCTGTATTACCGGTACCGCTACCGCTACCCCCTCACAGGCGCCTTCCTTCCTTCGGTGCGGATCAAAACTCTCCCTTTCTCTCTCTCTCCGTCTCCCTGTGGGCGGTCCAACGACGACTTCTGCAAGCCGCAGGTGCTGTGCTGGAGTGCAGTGTAGCGAGGAGCGAGCAAAACACAGATTTGAAACTTTGAATATGTGGACGGCTCTCGGCGTTGCCGCTGTTTGCCTGGCGCCGCTGGCCTCCGCAGAGACAGCACCATCGCCAGCTGCAACGGCATCAACCGATGCACAAGGTCGTGCTTCTCTAGGAACAGCAGTGCGGTCAGCATCACGGGGCAGTCTACCAAAACGGCTTCTTCGTAGATCCATGCCCGGTGCGACCGATGCACAGCGAGGCAACCGCCAGCTGCGGGCACCGGGCCACCACACCACCTCCACTGCTGTTCTTGCTGGAGGGACAAGGACTGGACCTCTGCCGTGCTTCGTGGCTCCGGTGGGTGGTCGTAGTACCCGGCGGGAACAGAGGCGGGGCATCTGCTTCGAGGATCAGCAACAGCAACACCGTCGGACGATCACCCCGCGGTCGGCAAGGAGACCGAGGTGTGCCCGGAGGTCATGTGTTCGCGTAGATATGCACAAGAGAGGAGTAGAAACGGGTATGAAAAGGCCGCTTCGGGGTCTGCTCTTTGTAGCACTAGCGCTGGTTGAGTGGCGGAGACAGAATGGGCGTGTGTACACGCTGAAAGCTGCTGCGCAGAAACATGAACAGCCTTCTACTCTTGGTCCTACTGTACGATGTTAACGCCCGTATCTTGGGTTGGTGAGAAAGGTAGGGACATTGGCCGTTGTATCGGTTTTCTCTGTGCTGTGCCATGAACGACAGGTTTTGGAGACCTTTGAACAAAGGGTGCTGGGGTTCGTACCACTTGAATCATCATGGGTGCACTATCGGTACCTCGGTAAGGGTGTGGGGAAGTGGGGCGACGCGTGCGCATCGGCGAGGTGGGGAGGAGGGGAGGGGGGGTGGTATACAGCGTCATCACATTTATATTCCTCGACACAACGTGAACCGGGAGGTCCAGCGGCGCCAAACATGCACAATGCGCCCACCCAGTAATAACGCGGGCATCCCATGCTTAACTACAGTTTGATATCCTCTCCCTGCCTGTTCAATTACCTGTCGTTACTTTCCGCCGATGAAACTCTTCCATCTCTTGCTCCTTCTTTCTTGTTGCCAAGCCTTTGTCACCGCTACGTGTTACGCGCACGGATACCTAAATAGTGGTCTCGATCATGCGCCATTGCCCCCTTTTGCGTAGGAGCTGTGCGCGCCGTGTGTCCCACTAGAAGTGAGCCCGCTTCCAATTTTCGAGTATTTAATGTTCGCTCACCTGCTCGGTTATTTATTTCGCCCCAACACGTATGACAATGGGTTTCTAATGGCGTACGCGCTCGGTACCGGCAGTTTCATACCCCTGAAAAAACCACATAAGTTTTGCCGCCCACGCTGAAGCCACCCGCGAGACTGTCAACGTCCATTCTATAATGACATGCTGAGAGATTGGATTCCTTCGTCGAATCATGCTTACAACGAGCTTACTCAAGGCCGCGTGGCGCATGGGGCGCCGCCTAACGTCGTGGACGAGCCTTGCAAGTATGCCAATAACGTGAGCACAGCAACAGCAGCAGGTACAACAATACCGACAACATCGGCACCAGCATTACCAACCACCACCGACAACAGATTGTAGCACTACTGTATTAGCGACGCCCAAAAACACCTCCTAAACAACGCGTACAGGGAGGACGAGTGGAGCAGCAGCGACACGGGAGGCAGCTGGAGTGAAGGAGAAGACGATGAGGGTGTCCCAGAAAGGAGGTCTGGCAAGGCTGGGACTCCGATGCCAAGGTGCAAAGCCGAATGTGTGAAGTAAGAAAATGCTGCGCCGATGTCTCTCTCCGTTTGAAATCCATACGAACGTAGAAAGTGGTGCCCTTCCGGTGGCGTACTGTACATGGGTGTGCAAGATGTCAGGCGGCGGTACGCAGGTGTTGTCACCAAGGGTCGTTGACCAGGACTCTGCCGAAAGCTGCATGCGAAGAGAGAAATCTCTCGAAGCACATGTCAAGCACGTCAACCTGCTTTTCCTGCGCATAACCGCGTGGGAACCGATGCTGTAATGCCACTGCTACCCTTCGTCAAATAAGGAAAAAGACGAGAGACACAATAGGATATCTCCGTGCACAATCCCATGTACCTCACTGCTTGTTCGCGAGAAATGCGGCGGCAGGATTGGGGATGGTCAGGAGAAGGCTTCAAATCCGTGCGGGCGAAATTGTGATCTTTCATGCCCACTTGCTGTGGTGCAGCGTTCGTCAATGTTTCGCGTAACTACGGCTAAGGCAATCAATACTGAGGACCCCCCCCCCCTCCCCCCCTCTTTCTCCCCCTGTCATAGAATGGTGTCGTGGGGGCTGAACTCTAGGAGCCAACCCAGCGCGAGGAAGGCTCTCGGCAGCAACAAAAAGACGCACACCATAGTGAGTGGAAACAAACTGTTTTTTGGCTTGATGGACGTTTCGGATCTGGTCGTGTTTCTTTTGTGAAAGTGCTCTCGGTCGTTTTCCGCTCGACAATGCTCACAGGCACACGCCGCCAGGTTGTTGGAGGTTGCTACCGCCCCGCCACCGCCAAAGGTGCTCATGTTCGAGGCATGTAGATGGTAACCGCTCCATCTTCATGCGCCTGTGCCTCCCGATTTGCGTGCCTCAGCCTGCTCGGCACGTTTGTCGCCCACGGCACCGGCTTGCGATATTGCGCTCTTGAGGTTCATTTCCCGTGTTATTTGAGCGAGTGCGACACACCCCGCTGTACCACTGCGGTATGATTGGCGCGAACGGCGCGGCCACGCTTGCATCTCCGCATGTAACCGTCTTTGCTCGGCGCTGATTGGTTGTTTTCTTTCCAGGTGTACGTCTGCGAGGTGTGCGGGTCGGAGCACGTGCAGTGGGTGGGCCGCTGCCCAACGTGCAAGGAATGGAATTGCGTCAAACCCTTCAAGGTTCGCAGGGAGCAAGGTAGGAGAATCCCCTGGGCACGGGGGTGAACGATGCGAGGGGAGGCACGGGAAGTCCTAGCTCGCATTGTGATGGGAACCCTCGTTGAGAGCCTTTGGGTGGGATTGCGGCAGGACCGCGTGCGAGGCCCGCCGGGGGGCATGGGTAGCTCGATTCAGCACAAAACACAGCAAGTGTTTCCTCATGTGCATGCGTCAAAGTGTGTGTTGTTGGGGAGGTTTGGATGCGTTTTCAACCACCCTGCTGTTTGTTTTCAACGCCCTCGTTGTCGAGGCAATCGGCAGCACGGAAAGGGCTTCGCACGTGACGGTGCTTGTTGTGGTCTGCACTGACGAAACGTCTTTATTCTTTATTCGCTCTCCGACGCGTACGTTAGGTCCCATTGTGATGTTGCCCTGTCTTGTCTTGCAGGTTCGAGCCCCTCGCGCGTGTCCCGGGCTGCGGCTGCTAGCGCTACCGCTGGAGCTCGCGGCGGGGGACGGTGAGACAAGAGGAGATATTTGATTCGCTGAATGAAATAAAATTTACGCAGTTCGTGGCTGTGGTCGTTGTTCTTGTTGGTGTATTGTTGCCGTTGTTTTTGCTGTCGGCTTTTGTGGTTGTCGCCGCGGTTCTGCTGTCTTGTCGCTGTGTGCTAACCCTAGTGTTCATTTTGTGATCCCTGGTTCCTCTATGCATCCCGCACTGATCCTGTTGATGAAGCAATGACATCGTTGGAGATAGAATTTATTCGGCCAGTGCACTGAATAGCCATCACGACCCCCCGTCATTCCTCTCTGCGTATTCCCCATAGGTTGGCCGTAGTCAGAGAAACACACGCCAACACCTACACCGGTCGCCCCGGTGGTCTAGTGGGTAGCCTCGCAGCCTGCTAAGGGCCAGGTCATGGGTTCGAATCCCGGCAGAGAGAGTTTTTTTCTCACTAAATAAATCCTGGTCTAGGATGAAAGCGACGCGCTGCAAAGCTCGTTTGTTAGTAAAGCATAATCGACTTCGTAAGTCGCGAGGGAAGGGATTGCTGTGCCCTTCTCGCGATAAAAATACCTAAGGCATGAACCGCAGGAGGGGGTCCAACCCCCCCCTCCTATGTGACCCCGGTTGGGTCGTCTAGCTAGTAGAAGTGGAGGATAGGGGCCAGAGGGGCAGACGACAGAGTCCAATGATGGGAGAAAAACAAAACAACAAAACAAAACCTACAAAGACGTCGGCTTCGATGTGTCCGACCCGGCCCTTGGCTCACGATCCACGCAATGGAATGCATGTGCCGTAAGCATCCGCATCGTAAAAAACGCGAACCCCGCCCAACGGAGCACTTGCATCACTTGTCAGCACCACCACGAGATAATAAAAACGAAAACCTCGTCATCTTCTCTTCTTCTGCACGGGGCGCCGTTTATAGTCGCAGAGTTGTCTGCTTGATGGATTTATGAAAACTGGTACTCCCCCCCCCCCCTGC